TCGTCGGCGAGGACGACGCCGCCGCCCGGGAGGCCTGCGCGCGGTCCTGCGGCTGCTCCGCGTCCCCCTCGGCGAAGCCGTCGGACGCGCCGTCCGCCGCGCCGACGTCCGGGACGCCGAGCGCGGCGCCGAGCGCCGCGCCGACGGCGAGCCTGTTGCGGCTCGAGAGCGTCGGCGGGACCGCGGGCGTCTGCGTCGCGAACGTCGCCTGCGAGGTGCGCTGGACCTACCGGGGCGCGCAGGACCGCTGCGCGACCGTCGAGTTCGCGGCGCTCGCCGGCGACGGCGCGGCGCTCGGGGCGACGACGGCGGCGAACGACGGCGTCGCGACGACGGTCGTCCTGGCGGACGCGGCCCTCGCGGCCTACACGCTCAGAGCGGCCTGCGCCGACGACCCGACGCTCTTCGACAGCCTCGACTTCGAGGTGTCGTCGACGCCCGCGCCGACCGGGCCGCCGACGCTCGAGCCGACGCTCCGGCCGACGCTCGACCCGACGCTCGAGCCGACGGCGCCGCCGACGTCGCGCGCGCCGACGCCGACGCCGTCGGCGGAGAACGCGGCGCCGCCCGCGGAGCGCGCGCCGACGGCCGCGCCGGCGGTCCGCGGCGCGCCGACGGCCGCGCCGGCGGCCGCGCCGGCGGCCGCGCCGACGCGCGCGCCGTCGCCGGCGCCGGCGCGCGTCGTCGTGGCGTCGTCCGTCGTCCTCGCGGACCTCGACGCCGACGCGTTCAACGCGGACGAGGCCGCGGTCGCGGCCTTCGCCGACGCCGTCGCCGCGACGCTCGCGTCCGCGCCGTCTCGCGATGTCGTCTCCAACGTCGTCGCGGCGCCGTCGACGGCGCGAAGGCGGAGGCTCGCCGGCGCCGCCGCGACCGTGCGCTTCGACGTCGCCGTCGCCTTCGGCGACGCGGCCGCGGCCGTCGACGCCGTCGCGGCGGAGCTCACGGCGGCCGTCGTCGACGGGAGCCTCGCGGCGGCGCTCGCGGTTTCGGCGTCGCCGCTCCTCGCGGCCGCCGCCGTCGACGAGGCCGCGTCCGTCGCCGCCGTGGAGGCGTCGACGGCCGTCGCGACGGCGGCGCCGACGCCGCGCGGCGGCTCGCCGCCGCCGTCGCCCGCGGCGGCCGGCGGCGGCTCCGGCGGCGGCGCGGAGGCCGCGAGCCTCGACGGCGTGCTCGCGGGCGCGGCGGCGGCGCTCGCGGCGGCGGCGGCGGCGGCCTACGCCTACGCGCGGTACCGCGCGCGGCCCAAGGGCCGCCGGTCCTTCGAGGAGACGTCGCGCGTCGACCGGATGTCGTCCCTCGACGACATCGCCGTGACCGTCGACGGCGACGACGAGTTCTTCGCCGACGAGGGCAAGGAGGAGATGGTCGAGATGCTCCGCGTGAACCTGACGGCGAACCAGACGCGCGAGCGGTCCTACTACGAGAAGCGCAAGCGGCGGCGCTTCGACTGGGCCGGCGGCGTCGCGCGGTGGGACGACGGCCCCGCGTCGCCGGGCAAGGGCGCGTCGACGCGGCGCTACGTGCGCCACGTGGCCCCGGGCGGCGGCGTGTCCCTCGAGCCGACGTCGGCGCCCCTCGCGATCCGGGCCGACCGGGTCTCGGCGCCGCTGCGCCGCGCGCTCGACGAGTCGCTCGACCGCCCCTTTGGGGAGCGCATGGCGAGCTTCCGCGGCGCGATGGACGCGCTGCGCGTCTCCTGGGAGGTCGGCCGCGTCGAGTTCACGGTGCGGCGGTCCCACTGCCTCCAGGACGCCTACGCGCTGCTGCGCAAGCTGCCCAGGGAGCGGTGGCGCCAGCCCTTCTTCGTCAAATTCGCCGGCGAGGAGGGCTTGGACGCCGGCGGCCTGTCGCGCGACTTCTTCCGCATCGCGTCCATATCGCTCTGCGACGTCGCCGTGGGCCTCTTCAAGTACGCGAAGAACGACTCGCTGACCTACGCGTTAAACGACGACGAGTTCATCGCCGCGTCCGTCGAGGACGGCGGCGCCTGGCTCGAGTTCGCGGGGCGACTCTACGGCAAGGCGCTCCTCGAGGGCCACCACCTCGGCGCCTACCTCAACCCCGTGCTCATGAAGTTCGTCGCCGCGGAGCCCGTGGAGCTCGAGGACCTGCAGCTCCTCGACTTCGAGCTCTGGCGGTCGCTGGATCAGCTCGCCGTCATGGCCCCGGACGTCGTCGAGTCGCTCGCGCTGACCTTCGCCGTCGAGTCCCACTCCTTCGGCGCCGTGGAGACGACGGAGCTCGTGCCCGGCGGCGCGAACATCGAGGTGACCGCGGCGAACGTCGACGACTTCGTGTCCATGCGCTGGCGCGAGCGCATCTTCGGCTGCTGCGCCGGGAGTCTGGGGAGCCTGCTCGCGGGCCTCTACGACGTCGTCCCGCCGGAGGCGTTGATGCTGCTGAGCGCGCGCGAGCTCGAGCTCGTCGCCATGGGCGTGCCCGAGATCGACGTCGACGACTGGGCGCGGTCGACGGTCTACAAGGGCGCGTTCGCGGCGCGCGGGCCCGAGCACCCGACCGTGAGGCTCTTCTGGGACGAGGTGCGCCACAACATGGACCACGAGCGGCGCGCGCTCCTCGTGCTCTGGTGCACGGGCTCGTCGCAGGTGCCCGCGCAGGGCTTCCGCTACCTCCAGGGCCGCGACGGCGCGCTCCGCGCGTTCACGCTCACGAGCGTCGACCTGTCCTCGGCCATCTTCCCCCGGGCCCACACGTGCTTCAACCGCATCGACCTGCCCCTCTTCACGACGGCCAAGGAGCTATCGACGGCCTTCGACGTCGCGCTCGCGCCCGCGAACGCCGTCGGCTTCAGCATGGACTAGGGGCGTCGTAACGCGGCTGTGTTTTTTGCCGATCGCGACTCGGAGCGGGCCCCGGGGCGGCCGCACACCCCCCCCCGGCGCGTCTCTGCCATGAACTTTCTTTCAGCATGGACTAGCGGCGTAGTAGCGTGGCTGTTTTACCTCGCGGACGCACTGTCCTAAAGGAGCGGGACGGCCGGACGGGGTCCCTCCGAGTCCGCAACGCCCCCGGCCGCGTCTCCGAGTCTGCCACAAACTTTTCTTTTACGCCGACAGGGGGTCGTCGTCGTCGCCGAGGACCGCGTCCCAGTCCGTCGGGAGCTGGATCGTCGGCCCGTAGGGCAGCGCCTCCGCGGGCTCGAAGAGCTTCCGCAGGGACGCGGCGGCGACGAGGCGCGCCTTCTCGCCGCGGAGCAGGTCCGAGAAGGCGCCGCAGCGGCCCTCGTGGTCGTCGACGTCGAGGAGGGCCTGGAGCTCGCACTTGGCGGACCCCATGGGCTCGAGGTCGTCGCGCACGCGGTCGTCGAGCGACGTGAGCATGTTCCTCAGGTCCGGCGGCAGCTCCGACAACGCGAGCGTCGTCGCCTCGGGCGCCGCGATGAAGAGGTCGTCGTCGCCCGGCAGGCGCCCGCTGTCCCGCAGGAACTCGAGCAGCCGCTCGTGCAGATCCGCGTGGAGCCGCTTCTTGCGGCTCGCGGCCCGCTGGTCCAAATACGCGAGCCAGCAGCTGTCGGCGAGGTGCCACAGCGTGCCCACCCCCACCCCCCGCGACGCGCCCAACAGGCCCACGGCGGCCTCGTTGAAGCGCACGTCCTCGTCGCAGGTCTTCTGGAGCGCGGCGATCTCGCGGAGCAGGTCCAGCACCTCGCGCTCGCACGCGGGCGCGTCGCCGAACGCCGTCTCGAGGAGCGGCCTCGTCGTCTCTTCCTCGGGCCCGGGGCCGCCCAGGGACCGCACGAGCGTCTCGAGGTCCTGGCCCGTCTTCTCGAGCTTGGCGAGCACGCCGTCGATCAAAGCCCGCGCGGGCCCGTCGCGCGCGTCCGGCTCGAGGTCGCCCGCGGCGGGCGGCGGCTTGAGCACTTCGACGCTCGACCGGCCCCGCGACGACACGACGGCGCCGTCGGCCGTGCGGAGCCGCACCCAGCCGTTGACCACGGCCTCGACGACGCCCTCGGCGCCCAGGCGCTTGCCGTCCGTGACCCGCACCGTCGCGCCCGCGGAGACCTCCAGGGGCTCGTCCGGCACGTCCGTCGCGACGCATCGGAGGTAGGACTCGTCGCCCTCGCCCCGCGCGATGACCTTGTCGATGCGCACGCGGTCCCGCGACAGGCCGTGCGTGACCCGCCACTTGACGTCGCCGTTGCCCTCCTTGACCGACTCCAGGGTCATCACGCAGCCCATCTGCGCGAGCGCCGCGGACCCGTCGTCCTGCTCCCGCACGCCCATGGTCGTGACCATGCGCCGCCCGCCGCGCGCCAGCAGGTCGTCGACCATGGCCAGCAGGCCCGCGTCGTCGTGGCGCACGGTCATCTCGTGCGTCGACCCGGGCACGAGCGGCGCGTCCAAAACGTAGAGCGGCAGGAGGGCCGCGGCTTCGGCGTCGCCGAGGTCCGCCTCGTCGCCGACCCAGCACTCGGGGGCGACCCACCGCGCCTCGAGGGTCGACGAGGACGACGCGAGCGGCGACTCGGCGGCGCGCACCGTCGCGTGGAGCGGTTGCGGCGCCGGCCGCAGGAAACCGCCGGCCGTCGCGGCGCAGAGGGCCAAGAGCGCTGCTGGCCTTCGCGCCATGGGTGGTTTGTGCGGGTGTCCGTGGGTGGTGCTACGGAGCGGTGTCGGTGGTGCGCTTGCCTCAAGATTCCGCGCGGCGCAACAGCGTGGGTGCGCGAGGCCGATGCGACTGACGACTGAGCATTGAACAACGAATCGATCGCGAAGCGCGGCTCAACGTTGAAGGCGCCGGGGCCGACGTCTCGCGATCGCACCCTGCCCTGAGCGCCCCCCCCCGTCCGCGAGCAAGCGCCTCACCCCCTTAGTCAGGTCCCCCGCGGCAGCTCGTCGGGCGTGGCCTGCTCGTAGTAGCGGCCCGCGACGACGAGGAGCGCCATGAGCGGCGCGGCCTCGGGCGCGCGCGCGTCCGGGAGCGCGTCCCGCAACACGCACAAACGCTTCACGAGCTCCCGGAGCACGGCGGCCGTGTCGCGGTGCACGGGCTTCTCGAGGCGCGCGAGGAGCGCGTAGAGCCAGAGCGCGCGGTTCCGGCTCAGCGCGCGGCGGCCGAGCCAGCCGCACTGCATGACGACGAGCCGCTGCGTCATCACGCCGTCGAACTGCAGCACGAGGCGCGTCGTCGGCGCCGTGCCCCCGGGCGTCGCCGCCACGGCGGGCGGCGCCGGCGCCGGCGCCGGCGCGGCGGCGGGCGCGTCCCCGGCGGCCGGCTCGTCCTCGTCCTCGTCCTCCTCGTCGTCGTCGTCGTCCTCCTCCTCCGCGTAGGGCTCCGTGTCGCCGAAGCAGAAGGCGTGCCACCCCCGCAGGTCCTTCATGCGCGGCACGGCGACGCGCGCGTGCTTCTTCGAGCCGACGCCGCGCGCCGCGTGGTAGTCGAGGCGCGTCCGCGCGTCCGCGAGATCCGCGAGCAGCGACCGCTCCCAGGCCGCCGGCGGCGCCCGGGGCGACGGCGCGGGCGCCGGCCCGGGCACGGACGCGTTCGCGCTCCGCTCCGCCTCGTTCTCCGCGAGGAAGACGTCGCCCATACGCCGCGACTCGCGCCGCATCATGCGCATGAACTCCTCCGCCGTCCGCGGCTCGCCGGGCGCGGCGCACGGGCCGTCGTCGTCGGACGCCTCGTCGCCGAGGGGCAGCGCCGGCGCGTCGTCCATCGTGCTAGTGCGTCGCGGTGTCTGCGCCGGCGCAAGGCGAGCAAGGCTGCGCGGCGCCGCAAGGCGAGCAGGCTGCGACCGAGCGCGTCAAGATGAACTACAATGAGGCACGAGTTGAATAGCCATATCCCGCCCATACTTGCCTTCGGGGCTGCCTCCCCAACAAAACCGATTGCTCGAGGCGCCCGCGGGCCGGTCCCGCGCGCGCCGGTGGCCTGGTGCGCCTGGCCGGTGGCTCGTTCATGTCCGGCGGCAGCCCGCGGCTGCAGAAGATCCCGGCGCCGCGCAAGGGCTCGCGGAAGAAGGAGCCGGAGGAACAGCAACGGCCCGAGGCGCAGCTCACGCCGCGCATCTCGCCGCTCATGGGCAAGGAGACGCAGCCCGGCGACCTGCTCGCCTACCTGCGCATGGCGAGCCACGCGCTCGGCGCGTCCATGGCCCTCGAGAGCGGGCGGCTCTACATCGACGAGCTCCAGGCGGCGCTGGACGGCGTCGCGCGGTGCCTCGACGCGGTCCGCGAGGGCGACGCGGCCGGCGGCGGCCGGGCCGGCTCGCGCGGCGGCACCACCTACGGCCGCCCGCGCGCCGAGGCGGGCGCCCGCGGCGCGCCGCCGCCGGCCGCGGACGCCAAGGACGACGCGCCGGGCCGCGCGCCCGAGCGGCCGCGGAGCCGCGAGCAGGCCGCGCCGATGACGCAGCACGAGGCCCAGGCTATTTATAGTTCCCGCCAGACGAACAACATCAATTTGCACGCCGAGGACGGCCACCACTTCCACCAGGAGAAGGCCGTGACGAAATACTCGCACGCGATGGCGCAGCTCGGCTACGTCTTCGACCAGTGGTTCAGCCACCGGCTCACGCAGTTCCTCGCCATGATCTTCCTCGCGCTGCTCATCACGGCGGCGGGCGGGTTGGGGCTGTGGCTCGTGGGCGACGCCAAGGACGTGCAGCAGGGCACGTGGAACGCGTGGACGTACATGGCGGACCCGGGGTCGCACGCGGGCGTCCGGGGCACGGGGCCGCAGGTCGTCGCGATCACGGTGACGATCCTGGGCGTGCTGCTCATGGCGGCGATCCTGGGGTTCATCGTCGAGGCCATCCAGGCGAAGATGGAGGAGCTCAAGAGCGGGCTGAGCAGGGTGGTGGAGTCGGGGCACACGCTCATCCTGGGGTGGACGCACGAGACGGTCATGGTCATCGAGGAGATCTGCATCGCGAACGAGTCCGAGGGCGGCGGCATTATCGTGGTGCTCGCGGACATGCACAAGCAGGAGATGGAGATGGACATGGCCATGCAGCTCGGCGGCCACGTGCAGGCGCGGAAGCGGCTCCGGGGCACGAAGGTCGTCCTGCGGAGCGGCAGCCCCATGCTCGTGCCGGACCTGGCCAAGGTGTCGGCGACGGAGGCGCGCGCGACGCTGATCCTCGCCGAGCCGGGCCTCGCGGACCTGGCGGACGCGCACACGCTCCGCTGCACGCTCGCGCTGCTCTCGCTGCCGAACCTGTCCGGCCACGTTGTCGCGGAGATGCGCGACCTCGACAACGAGCCCCTCGTGCGCCTCGTGGGCGGCGAGCTCATCGAGACGCTCACGTCCCACGACATCCTGGGCCGTTTGATGTTGATGTCCGCGCGCGAGCCGGGCCTGGCGTCCGTCTACGCGACGGTGCTGGGCTTCGTCGGCGACGAGTTCTACGCGGCGCACTGGCCCGAGCTCGTCGGCGTCGCGTGGCGCGAGGTCGCCTTCCGCTTCCGGACGGCGATCCCCATCGGCATCCGCACGCTCGACGACCAGCTCATCCTGAACCCGCCGGGGGACCGCGTCCTGGAGGAGGGCGACGAGATCGTGGTATTGGCCGAGGACAACGACACGTACGCGCCCGGCGAGCGCGTCGTCGTCGAGACGGGCCCGCCGCCGGTCCAGGACGTGCCGCCGAAGCAGAAGGAGATGATCCTGTGCTGCGGCTGGCGCCGCGACATCCGCGACATCCTGCTGCAGCTCGACAAGCAGGTCGCGCGCGGGAGCGAGCTCCACATGATGTCCGACACGATCCCGCTCGAGGACCGGAACCGCTACCTCAAGGACTCGGGCCTCGACGTGGACAAGGACATGCACAATTTAAAAATTGTGCACTTCATGGGCAACACGGCCATGCGGCGCTGCCTCGAGAGCCTCCCGATCGCGGAGTACGACTCGTGCATGATTTTAGCGGACCAGTCCTTCGAGGCGCAGATGATGCAGAGCGACTCGCACGTCATCGCGTCCCTGCTCCAGCTCCGGGAGATCCAGAAGGAGTGGGCCCACGAGGCGTCCGACCCCCACGGCGACGCGCTCGCCGCGGCGTCGGACGCGAGGGCCCGCGCGACGCGGCGGTCCATCATGAACGATTTGAAGCTGCGCCAGCAGACGGGGGGCGGCGGCATGAGCAAGAGCAAGCGCGCGCTGACGCAGCGCCTCCAGCTCGCCATGCCCACGATCTGCGAGGTTTTGGACCCGCGGACGCCTGTGCCGAATTCAACCACCGCTTTGGGTGGTCCTGACCAAACTTCTCTAGCTCGGTCGCATCGAAGTCGATTCGGCTGATGTTTGGACGAATCGATCGCTCTCGTCGAGTTTTTGAAGCAGAACCGAAGAGGGTGCGTCGAAACAGTCGCGTACGCTCACATCGAAGTCGAGTTGCATTTTTGAATTCGGCGCAGGCGGACGCAGAACACGATCGAGCGGAACATGACCGTCGCGCACACGTCCGACTTCTGCCAGTCGAACAAGCTCATCGCCCAGATCCTGGCCATGTGCACGGAGGACCGGTCCATCCAGGTGTTGCTCAACGAGCTCCTGGGCCCCGGCGGCGTCAGCTTCTCCATGCAGCCCGCGAGCCGCTACGCGCACCCGTCGGAGCACCTCAACTTCTACGAGCTCGCCGCGCGCGTCCAGTCCTACGGCGAGACGCTCTGCGGCTACCAGACGCGCTGGGAGAAGAAGGCGCACACGATCATCAACCCCCAGGACAAGGGCGAGAAGAAGCTGGGCTGGGAGGCCTACGACCTCATCGTGCTCCAGGGCACGGCGTCCGCCATGTCCGCGGACCCGGCGCTCGCGGCCGCGCGCCGCGCGTCGCCGCGGTCCCCGCGGGGCCAGCGCGGCTACGCGTCGTCCGCGAAGATGACGCGGGGCACGCGCTCCGGCCGCCACGACACCATCGTCGCGAGCCGCGGCGGCACGCGCCGCGCGTCCATGACGGGGCACAAGAAGCGGAAGGAGGTGTCCTCCGCGAAGCTCGCCGCGTCGCGGCGGAGCCTCATCGCCAGCCACGACGACGGGCCCCTCGCCGAGCCGGGCTCCCCGAAGATCGCGCCCGAGTAGGGCGTAACGGGATTCTGGTGCGAGTGCCGGGTGCCGCCTACCAGCGCTTTGCATACCGAGGACGAACTCATGTTGCCTGGGGGTCGAGGTGCCGTCTACGTCGTATTAACCATACCCCGGGGGATCTTCGGCCGCGGTCGTGGTGGGCTGGAGGGAGAAGCGCTTGACCCGCAACGCGGTGAACCACGGCTCGAGACGGTACTGCTCGAGGACGAGCGAGACGCGCCGCGCGCCCGGCTTTTCCGTCGAAAATGGGCGCACGCGGTGGTGCGCGTCGCCGCGAAAGGTCACGAGCGTGTTCTCGACGGGTTTGACGTCCGCGGCTTCCACCTGGCCTCCGTCGCGCGCCACCGCGGCCCGCGCCTTGAGGCCGTGTGCGTTTAAGTAATCTTCAGGCACCTTGCGTACCTCAAGCTCGCCGCCTCGCATATCGTCCGGCACGGAGACGTACAAAACGGACACCGTCTCGGCGACGTAGTGGCCCAGGGCAAATTTGACCGGGAAGGACTGGTCGATGTGGTAGCGTATCGGTTCCGTCTCCGACGGCTTCGCCTCGACGACGTTGAGTACGAAGGCGTTCGCCGTCGGTCGCATGACCGTTCGCGCGAACGCCTCGAAGCAGCGCAGGTGTTCGTCGCGCGCGAGGTCCGCGAGGCCGTCGCGCGTGTAGCGGACGATGAGCCCGCGCGTCGCCGAGAACGCCTCCTCGAGCGGATTCACGCCCAGGAGCGCGTTGCGCGTGGCGCACCGTTTGAGCGTCGCGAAGGTGTCGTTAGTGAATTTGTGCGGTTCGATGGTGACGAGCGGCTGGCTTTGCGGCGTCGTCCTATAAAGAATCTTGTCGCTGTCGATGGTTTGTGTGAAAACGGCAGTGGCGCAAACGACCAACACAATCGCCCAGTCTCTCGGACCTAGCGGCGATTCGTCGGCGGCAGCGGGCATGGCGTCGTGGGGTGAGGCAGTGAATTTTCGCCTTGATGCCCGGGAGGACGAGAGGCTCAGAGGGGTCTCACAGGCGCCGGGCGCAGTGAACGCGGCGCAGATCTGGCACTAATCTGCCGCAGGCCTTTGGCGAGTCTTTTGTCAAGCGAGACTACTCCGCTCACCTACGCCGCGCTAAGCACCCCCCGCGCGCTCTCGCCGCGCCGGTCAGTACAGTCCAGCTCGATGCTCACCAATGTAGAACGGTTCGAGACCGGCGAGATGTTAATGAGTGGAGATTACGATCGCTTACAAAAGCACTTTCGCGACGGCGGAGATCCTAATTTGACTGATGATGAGGGTTACACGGCCCTCCATCGCGTGCTTATGGACCCACAAGGATTGCCCCGAAGAGACCGCAGCGATCACCTTCGACTGATGATCGAGCTCGGGGCGGATGTGAACCAACGGATGACGACGTACACTCGATCACCCCCGCTGCACTACGTCAGATTTCCCTCGGAGGCAGATGTGCTACTGGATGCTGGTGCCGACATTAATGCGTTCGATAACATCGGACTTCCACCGCTCGCTCAATGTTTCATCCAAGAATTTTCAGGAGGCTTTAACCTTCTTCGTTTCTATATGCGTCGCGGCGCTGACCTCTCTCTCTTAGAAATGGATCGTATCAAAGCCGAGATAATTGAGGAGAAGGAGTTCGTCACAGACTGTCGTGAAGACACTGGCAAATGCCTCGGCCTTCTCGCCGCGGTAAAAAGCGCGGGCTCGTACCGACGCTACGTGGCGGCTCCGAGGGCCGCGCTGATGCGGCTTCGCACGCTCTGCGCGCGCGGCCGCGCGACGCCGCCGCCGGGGGATCCCGTCCTCGAGCGGCTCTTCGCGGCGCCCCCGCCTTCATCTTTTACGGCGCCGTCCGGGCGCGTCACGCGCCGCGCCTCGCGCCTCCGCCTCGCGAGCCGGCCGTTGCCGAACGACGTCGTCTGGCACATCCTCTCGTTCTGGCGCACGACTCGCGACGACTGCGACGACATCGAGAGCCGCATCGAGGACTTCATCGAGGACTTCGACTGCGATGATGGCTCTTTCAGCGACGACGACTCGGACCACTACCCGTCTGACTATTAGGTCCAATGACCAGAGATGCGTAATTTACGCCGTAAACATGGATGCGATTAGACGCCCAACCCTAGGCCCCGCCGCCCTGGGCGCGGTACTTCTTCACGACGAGGTCCTTGCCGCCGGACGCCGAGTAGCCGGAGACGGCGGTCTTGAGCTTGACGACGTCCTTGTCCTTGAACTTGGCGCCCGAGACGGGGCACCGCTTCTCCTTCATGAGGCCGAGGCGCGTCGCGACGGGCTCGAGGACGACGCAGCCCGTGTTGCGGATGAGGAGCACGTTCTGCGTCGTGATCTCGTCGCCGGACACGTGGCAGAGGTAGCGGACGTCGGAGCCGTCGTGGTCGTTCCGCGACGTCTTCGCGGACTCGGCCTTGCGCAGGTCCAGCTTGTACAAATCCTTGGACCGCAACGGCGCGCCCGTCATGGGCGACGGCGGCCGCCGCGGCGGCTCCGCGAGCTTCTTCGCCGGCGCCTCGGGCGTGAACGACGGGAGCCAGTAGCTCGTCCGCGAGAGCTCGGCCTTGTGGAGGTCGCGCGCGTCCATGTCGACCTTCTTCGACATGTCGCGCACGACCAACTCCGTGGACCCCGTCTTCACGGGCGCGGCGAAGTTGCTGTGGCTGTAGGAGCCGTCGTCGAGCCGCGCGCGCTTCGGCCCGGGTTTCGCGGCGGCCGGCGCGTCGCGGACGAGGGGGTCGTTGGCCTGCTCGAACTCGAGGAGCAGCGTCTCGTCGTTGCGGGCCGACGCCTCGCGCTCGCGGCGGGCGTCGGCGGCCTGCTCCGCCTCCCAGAGCTCGCGCGCCCGCTTGAGCTCGGCCTGCTTCGTCACGAGGTGCTCGAGGATCGCCTCGCGCGAGTAGACGTGGCCGCTCGGCGTCGCCACGGGGTCCACGGCGGGCCGCAGGCTCAGGGCGCACCAGCCGAAGGGCAGCTGCGAGTCGGACCCGCAGCGCGCCTCCTGGCTCGACATGAAGTCGCATTGCTTGCGCTCCGCGTGGGAGAAGACGCCGTAGGTCGAACTCCCGTTGTTCTTCGCATGCTTCTGGGGCATGGTTCAGCTAAGACGGGGCGGCCCCGGGGGTCCGCGACGCGCCGCTCCCGGACGCCGAAGCTGTGCGTGTCGACGACGCGGCTCGGCGGGCTGTCCGTGCCTCGCCTGCGCCGCGATGGGCTCGAGTTTTGAGTAGTGCACCAGCGCAATGGCCGACGACGACGTGCGCGTCGCGCTCCTCGGCGACGTGACCGTCGGCACGACACAAGATGCGAACTTCCAGGCGGCGCTCGGCGGGAACCGCCTCGCCCTTTTGGAGCGCCACGGCGTCGTCGTCGCCGGCGTCGGCCGCGAGCTCGCGTGCTTCGCGCTGCGGGACCTCGAGGCGGCGTGCTGGGCCCAGTACGAGGCGCGCGCCGCGGGCAAGGGCTCGAGCAAGCGCGGCGGCGGCGCGGCCGCGCCGCGCGCGGGCGCGGCCGACCTGGGCGGCCCGGTGGGCCCCGTCGCCGGCTCCGGCGGCAACGTCGTCGCCGCGGGCGTCGGCGCGGAGCTGCGCTGCTACGCCGTCGAGGCGGGCCACGCGCTGCGGCTCCTCAATACCTTCGACTGCGGCGGGCCCGTCGTCGACTGCGCGTGCAGCCCCGACGGCGCGCGCGTCGCCGCGGCGACGGCCGGCGGCGGCGGCTGCGTCGTCGACGTCGCGTCCGGCGCCCGCGCGCCCCTGCCCGGCGGCGCGCTCGCCGTGGCCTTCGACGCGGCCGCGGGCCGCTGCGCCGTCGCGACGGAGAGCGGGCTCGCCCTCGTCGAGGCCGACGGCGCGTCGGCGAGCCTGCCGGCGCCGGACTTCGAGGACGGCGCGGCGCGGCGCGCGCACGCCGTCGCCTGGCTCGACGCGGGCCACGTCTTCGTCGGGTACCGCGACGCCGCCGGGGGCGACGACGCGCTCGCGCGCGCGGCCGTGCACGCCGTCGCCGCGGGCGCGGCCGCGCCGTTCGCCGAGGACGAAGTCGTCGCGTTCTTCGACCGCGAGGCGCCCGGCGCGCCCCACGGCTTCCACGTCGCCGCCCACAGCGACGCGTTGGCCCTCGTCGCCTGCAACCTGAGCCGCGACGTGCGCGTCGTCCGCGCGGACCCGGACGAGCCCGGAAGCTGGTACGTGCACGAGGCCGTCGACGAGGCGCTCCTCTGCTGCCAGACGCCCTGCGTCGCGGCCGCGGACGGCGACGAGGTCGAGACGCTCGTCGCGGGCCTCGCGTTGTCGCGCTGCGCGTCGCGGGCCGCGCCGCCGCGCGACCCGCAGACGCCGCCCGACGCCGGCGCGGCGCCCGCGCCCTTGGCGCTCGTGCTCTCGACGGCCGGGCTCCTGTCGCTCTACGCGCTCGCCGAGGACGACCCGTCGCGGGCGGCGCCGCGCACGCCGCGGCCCCTCGACGCGCTCCCGCCCGCGCCCGCGGCCGCGGGCCAGACGGCGCTCGCGGGCTTCGCGCCGGCCAAGGCGCCGGAGAAGCCCGCCTTCGGCTTCGCCGCGGCGCCGGGCGCCGCGCCGGGCTTCTCCTTCGGCGCGCCCGCGGCCGCGGCGCCGGGCGCCGCGCCGGCCTTCGGCTTCGCCGCGCCCGCGGCCAAGGCGCCGTCGGGCTACCCGCCCATGGCGACCAAGGCGCCCAGCAAGCTGCCCTTCGGCGCGCCCGCGCCGGCGGCCAAGGCGCCTGCTGGCTACCCGCCCATGGCGACCAAGGCGCCCAGCAAGCTGCCCTTCGGCGCGCCCGCGCCCGCGGCCAAGGCGCCTTCTGGCTACCCGCCCATGGCGACCAAGGCGCCGAGCAAGCTGCCCTTCGGCGCGCCCGCGCCCGCTCCGGCGGCCAAGGCGCCGTCGGGCTACCCGCCCATGGCGACCAAGGCGCCCAGCAAGCTGCCCTTCGGCGCGCCCGCGCCCGCTCCGGCGGCCAAGGCGCCGTCGGGCTACCCGCCCATGGCGACCAAGGCCCCCAGCAAGCTACCCTTCGGCGCGCCCGCGCCCGCGGCCAAGGCGCCGTCGGGCTACCCGCCGATGGCGACCAAGGCGCCCAGCAAGCTGCCATTTGGAGCTCCGGCGCCCGCGGCCAAGGCGCCGTCGGGCTATCCGCCGATGGCGACGAAGGCGCCGAGCAAGCTGCCTTTTGGAGCTCCGGCGCCCGCGCCCGCGGCCAAGGCGCCGTCGGGCTATCCGCCGATGGCGACGAAGGCGCCGAGCAAGCTACCCTTCGGGGCGCCCGCGCCGGCGGCTGCGGCGACGAGCAAGCCGGCCTTTGGCGCTCCCGCGAGCAAGCTGGCCTTTGGCGCCCCCGCGAGCAAGCCGGCCTTTGGCGCTCCCGCGAGCAAGCTGGCCTTTGGCGCCCCCGCGAGCAAGCCGGCCTTTGGCGCCCCCGCGAGCAAGCCGGCCTTTGGCGCCCCCGCGAGCACGCCGGCCTTCGGCGCCCCCGCGAGCGCGCCGGCCTTCGGCGCCCCCGCGAGCGCGCCGGCCTTCGGCGCCGCGGCCGCGCCGGCCTTTGGCGCGGCGACGCAGGCCCTCGGCGAGACCAAAAGAGCGTTCGGCGACGCGACGCGCGCGCTCGGCGCGGCGCCGGCCGCCGCGACGCTCCCGTCGTTCAAGGAGATCGAGGCGTCCGTCGGCGCGCCGGCCGGGGGGGCGCGCTCCGGCGAGCGCAAGGCCTACACGGTGCCCCACGACATGGTCGTGCCGAGGGACGCGGCGGAGGCCGAGAAGTGGCGCGTCGTGCTCGACTTCGAGCAGTCCATGGCCGACATGCGCGAGGCCATGCGCGCGTCGAAGGTCGAGGTCGACGCCGCCGTCGACGAGGGCCGGAGGAAGGGCGAGGACGAGCGGCGCGAGCTCCGCGAGGCCCAGGCGCTCGTGCGCGAGTACCGGGCGCAGGAGCGCGAGCTCGGCGAGATGCGCGCGCAGCTTCTGGGGAGCTGCGAGGACGTGCGCCGCCAGTGCGCCGACGCGAAGTCGTCCCTGGAGATCGCCGAGGGCACGCTCGCGGACTGCGACGACCCGGAGAAGAAGGCCAAGGCCGACGAGTGGGCGCGGGTCCTCGAGACGCAGCCTCTGGACGTCGCGTCGAAGGCGCGGCTCGAGCGCCTCGAGAAGCTGGCCTGCGACGTCGCGTCGACGCTCAGCGACGTCAAGCTCGTCAACGAGCACCGCGAGAAGCTCGAGGCGTCGCTACC